GCCTCAGGATGGTTTGCCCATTGAGCCTGACGGACGTGCTTTTTTGATGGACCTATTGCCAACGCATCGTGAGATTTGATGCCTCGGTTGCTCCAAAGATCGCCGAGTGGTTGAGCGCACCCGAGAGACATGCTGTTCCTTTGCCCCTCGATTGGGAAATATCTGGCCGCACTGTTTGCACGGCATTTCCTTGACTCTGGGCATGGTGAGAACGTGCGTGTCTCAGAGCAGAGTCAATAGGACATGAACCAGGTATGATGCGTCATGCGATTTGTTTTACGCCGAGGAGGCAGCCATGAGCATGAAGGGGCGGGCGCTTGAGACGACTGCGAAAAAAAAAAAAACGGAAGAGAAGTGCACAGTGTGATGAAGTCAACACTTTTCAAAGTCATGTGAAGAAGGTGGAAATATAATACTTAATATGATGCACGACACAAACAATGGCTTACGAGTGGGATTTTTTTTTGCTCGAAAAGCGCGTTGGTTTTAACATAAACTCGACAGGAACAGACAACTTCACACACAATTAGACAACGGACTTTTACCACATGGTGACCGTTACATTGTCAGAACTTCCCCTTCACAACTTCCTCGTAAACATATACCATAGTCGGGTATTGGACAGAGCTACCTTTCTGCATAGTATTAGGGTCAAAGTCCCGCCCTCCAACTGCCAGCAGCTCGGCCGGGCACTCCATGCGCTGCATGATGCCGCGCAAAGTTTGACTGCGTGACACAGACGCGACCAGTGCCCGGATGGCCTCGCGGTTGCGCTGGGCACAGGCCCGCCCCGTGCACTCCACCACTCGATCACCCCCAATCTTCTGCGGCCTCCAACACCGGTAGCAAACACCCGCCCCCAAGGTCACTTGGCAATTGCTACTACCATGACCGCGACAGTGGCATCGAAAACAGCGCCCTTTCATGGCCGGGCAGCTAGAAGGCTGGTGGTGAGCAACCAAGCGGTCTCTGCTGCAGCTGCAGGCCCAGCAGTAGGTGCTCATCCATAGCAGAGCCGTGTTAAAGTCGTCTGACTGAATTGGCGCCGATGGTACCATCAACTGCGCTTGTTTGGCCCGGGTCTGGCCCTCGTGTGATACTGGCGCCCCATGTGCTTCACGGCTTGGATGGCGCGCAGTGATGGTCGGTTGCATCATGGAGCAGACGGTGCAAGCCGGCGCTCCTGCGGCCGCACAAATGTGGCCCTCACCATCCAGCAGCCAACCAAGCTCAAAGGTGAGGCAGCGCTTCATGCTTGCAAATGGCTGCAGATCTTCCGAAATCGCTGTGCCTGGTGGTATCCATAGCGTGGCCTCGCCACCCCGTCGGTCGCGGCCAGCCCGGCCAAAGGCCTGCGACAAGGTATAGCCGTTGTAGCCGC